TCAGAGATGGGTCAAGCCCTAGAGAACAGTGGGTGACAAGGCCAGCAGTAGAGGTGGCCAAGTAGCCTTAGGATTCAAAGATTGCCAACCACTGTTGGGACCTTGGGATCATGGGAGGAGGAAAGAGAAACAGATTTCCTGAATAAACCATAGACAGGTGCAGTGCATGGGACAGAGCCAAGGACATGGAATGGCGTGGCACAGTCAGGGGAGATCACACAGAACCCCATGGGCTCAAGAATCAGGAAGACAGGTCAGAGCTTTTCCAAGTGCAAGGTCAGCTCATACTGAGCTACTCATTGTGCACCCAAGGGTGGACTTGAGCTCTGATTCTTTGCCTTCCACTCCCAAGTGCTGGGATCTTGGTTGTATACCACTACTCACAGCAAATTCTTTAGCACCCAAGATGGTGTGTGTTTGTTTGTTTTTCTGAGATAGGGTTTGTCTATGTAGCCCTGGCTGTCCTGGAACTAACTCTGTAGACCAGGCTGGCCTCAAACTCAGAGATCTACCTGCCTCTGCCTCCTGAGTGCTGGGATTATTAAAGGTGTGTGCCACAATGCCAGACAGTACCCAAGATGTTTATTGGGAATGTTTCCCACTCATCTGGAGTCAAGGTGCATTTAGCTGGCAAATTAGAATAAAAAATTGTATACATCTCTCTCCATTTATGAAGTGTGTGTGTGTGTGTGTGTGTGTGTGTGTGTGTGTGTGTGTGTGGAAACAAGGTGTTACTTTGTAACCCATTCTGGCCTCTGACTTGGAATCCCTTTGTCTCTGCCTCCTGAGTTCTGGAAGTAATGGCATGTACTACCACACCTAGGTAAAAGCCATCTTCATATTTGTCTCACTGAGGCCTGGGGCTTGGGCATGTGCTGTCTGATTTCCTGTCACTCTTTACACTATTTCCAAAGGATGGGGGGGGCATCAGAGCCTGCACAGGTGGCGAATACCAACTGTTCTGAGATGTAGAAAAGCTAGTGGACGGGACACGCTGAATGTCGAGTGGATGGTGAATCGGTCAGAGCTCAATGCTGGAGTGGATAGGCGATGGCTGTGTGGGGCAGGAACGGCAGCACCCAGCGTTAGGGATGAACTCACCAGGGTGAGAGGCGAGCTGTACTTCACCACCCAGGAGGGCTTGGAAAGGAAAGGAGGTGGAGGCTCCAGTTCCAATTTCAGTTGCTGAAAGAATAGAAGTCAGCAAGATGGTATGAAGTCTGACAATGTGAAATTTATCCCTAGGACCTATATAGTAGGAGAGAAATGACTCCTGCAAGTTGTCCTTTGATCCGATTCTCCAGTGTGCGCGTGTGCGCGCGCGCGCACACACACACACACACACACACACACACACACACACACACACGTGCGCAAGTAAAAGTGTTTTGTTTTTTAAAAAGACAAAGAGCCAGGTGGTGGTGGCGCACACCTTTAATCCCAGCACTCGGGAGGCAGAGGCAAGTGGATCTCTGTGAGTTCGAGCCCAGCCAGGTCTACAAGAGCTAGTGCCAGGTCAGCCTCCAAAGCCACAGAGAAACCCTGTCTTGAAAAACCAAATAATAATAATAATAATAAAGACAAAGAGTGAAGAAGAGGATAAGCCTAGAGAGTCCCTTCCCCAAGGTTAGCCAGCCACCCAAATCAGGGCTGGATATTGGAGTCCATTAACCGTTGTGTGCAGATGAGGAGCCTGAGGTGAAGCAGGGCAGGCGACCTGGCCAAAGTCCCCCAGCAGATGGAGGCACATTCCCCACTCTCCACCTGTGTCCTTTGACTCCTGAGCCAGTGCCCGCTGGGAAGCATGGTACCTTGGTACTTAGATGAGACAGGTGGCAGAGAAAGATCTGTCCTGCCACCTGCCTGCTTTGTGACCTTGGGCAAGTCATTCGTCCTCTCGGAACTGCATGTTCTCTTTCTCAAGATGACATAACAATCCCAGGTCCATCTTGCTGCCAAGATATGTGCAGGGAGAGATGAACTTGGGATGCCTCTGACCATCTGCAGAGTCCTGAGAGGATTGTCACCAGCGAGAGGCAGATGGGAAGGTGCCAGGCTTGAGCCTGGCACTACCAGGCTCCCCTCATGTCCTGCCCAAGCCTGAAGCTTCTTTGGTCTCTGCCCAAGCTGAACCATCTGTGTGGTGGCATCAGCCTGTACTATCCTGCTGCCCTGGCAGGAAGAGACCCTGGGATCTCTCACTTGACCCAAATCTCCCCCCCAACTCATTGCTAAGCAGACAGTGCTTCACTCTGTGGGTATGCTGTTGTTTGTTTTTAGTGCTGGGCATCAAACTCAAGGTTGTGCACATGCTAGATAAGCGCTCTATCACTGAGCTATATTCCCAGTTCCCCGATTTAAAACAATTCAATTACATTTATTTATTTGGGGTAACACTTGTGCATATCAGAGGACCAATTGTGGGAGTCAGTTCTCTCACCATTTGGATCCTGTGGGAATCAACCTCAGGTAGTCAGGCTCAGTGGTCGGCACCTTTAACCTCTGAGCCATCTTGCCTCCACCCCATGTCTCATTGTTTGTTTTGCAAGATGGTCTCACTGGGTTCTCCAGGAAGGGCTTGCCAGCAGGAGGGAAAGGCCAGGACCCACCCCTACCCCAAAGTCATCAGCTGTAGAGGCCTTGACTTCCTCTTGCATTACCTACCCCTTTGGGGCTGAGGGAATAGGTGTCTTGAGTCTCCGTCCTTTGGTGTGGCTTTTGTCTCAGGCTGTCTCTTTCACAGGTGGCTGCACTCCAGCGGCAGATCTTCGATTTCCTGGGCTACCAGTGGGCGCCCATCCTGGCCAACTTCCTACATATCATGGCTGTCATCCTGGGCATCTTTGGCACCGTGCAATATCGGTCCCGTTATCTCATCCTGGTACGTCCCTTTCTTTGCCCCCACCTCTCCAGCCTTAACTGTCTCCTACCCATAAACCCAACGGGACACAAATACCCAAACCTCAAAATTATGCACTCAGAGCATACCTGTGTGCTACTTTTCACTAGATAATCTTCCCAGGGGATAGTCTAAGATATGCCATAACCAACATATGTCAACTGCCCAGGGTGGGCCAGGCAGAGTGCTCAATCCTACGGCTGTGTCTCACCGTACAACTGCTCTACCACCTCCTCATGCAGCTGAGGAAATAGAGGCTGACACAGAGTGGTTAAGAGTCTCCCTAAGGTCACACAGCTAAGAAAGGCAGAGCTAGGTCTGGATTGAGGGCTCCCACACTGTCACCATCCATAAGCTATGGTGACAAAAAAGTGGTGGGCCTCATCAGTGGTTCCCAGGGCAGCAAGGAAGCATCAAGAAGTCATGGCTTCTGTCCCTACTGACTGACATCCACTGGGGACAGGGTGTGGCAGGTGTGGTGATGGGTATCTGTAATCTTAGAACTTGGGAGAAAGAGGCAGTATCATCCAGAGTTCAGGACAACCTGGGCTACACAATGAGACCCTATCCCCCCCCCAAAAAAAAAAAAAAACAACATGGTCTGAGCAAAGGCTGTGTGGGTTTTTGGGGTCGGGGGGTTT